AATTTTTAAAGTGTTAACTTTTTTCCTTCTGTACCAAATAGCTTTTTCCAATATTTCAGAAACGGCTGCTACCCCATTGAACTAACTTAGACCCCTCGTAAGGAAATCAGACTAGTCTCAAATTGTTTCTAGTATTATTATCTAGTTGTTTACCAATTTTTAAAGTGTTAACTTTTTCCCTTCTGTACCAAATAGCTTTTTCCAATATTTCAGAAACGGCTGCTACCCCATTGAACTAACTTAGACCCCTCGTAAGGAAATCAGACTAGTCTCAAATTGTTTCTAGTATTATTATCTAGTTATTTACCAATTTTTAAAGTGTTAACTTTTTCCCTTCTGTACCAAATAGCCTTTTGCAATATTTTAAAAACGGCTGCTACCCCATTGAACTAACTTAGACCCCTCGTAAGGAAATCAGACTAGTCTCAAATTGTTTCCAGTATTATTATCTAGTTGTTTACCAATTTTTAAAGTGTTAACTTTTTCCCTTCTGTACCAAATAGCTTTTTCCAATATTTCAGAAACGGCTGCTACCCCATTGAACTAACTTAGACCCCTCACAAGGAAATCAGACTAGTCTCAAATTGTTTCTAGTATTATTATCTAGTTGTTTACCAATTTTTAAAGTGTTAACTTTTTCCCTTCTGTACCAAATAGCCTTTTGCAATATTTTAAAAACGGCTGCTACCCCATTGAACTAACTTAGACCCCTCGTAAGGAAATCAGACTAGTCTCAAATTGTTTCTAGTATTATTATCTAGTTATTTACCAATTTTTAAAGTGTTAACTTTTTCCCTTCTGTACCAAATAGCCTTTTGCAATATTTTAAAAACGGCTACTACCCCATTGAACTAACTTAGACCCCTCGTAAGGAAATCAGACTAGTCTCAAATTGTTTCTAGTATTATTATCTAGTTGTTTACCAATTTTTAAAGTGTTAACTTTTTCCCTTCTGTACCAAATAGCTTTTTCCAATATTTCAGAAACGGCTGCTACCCCATTGAACTAACTTAGACCCCTCGTAAGGAAATCAGACTAGTCTCAAATTGTTTCTAGTATTATTATCTAGTTGTTTACCAATTTTTAAAGTGTTAACTTTTTCCCTTCTGTACCAAATAGCTTTTTCCAATATTTCAGAAACGGCTGCTATCCCATTTAACTAACTTAGACCCCTCGTAAGGAAATCAGACTAGTCTCAAATTGTTTCTAGTATTATTATCTAGTTGTTTACCAATTTTTAAAGTGTTAACTTTTTCCCTTCTGTACCAAATAGCTTTTTCCAATATTTCAGAAACGGCTGCTACCCCATTGAACTAACTTAGACCCCTCGTAAGGAAATCAGACTAGTCTCAAATTGTTTCTAGTATTATTATCTAGTTGTTTACCAATTTTTAAAGTGTTAACTTTTTCCCTTCTGTACCAAATAGCTTTTTCCAATATTTCAGAAACGGCTGCTACCGCATTGAACTAACTTAGACCCCTCGTAAGGAAATCAGACTAGTCTCAAATTGTTTCTAGTATTATTATCTAGTTGTTTACCAATTTTTAAAGTGTTAACTTTTTCCCTTCTGTACCAAATAGCTTTTTCCAATATTTCAGAAACGGCTGCTACCCCATTGAACTAACTTAGACCCCTCGTAAGGAAATCAGACTAGTCTCAAATTGTTTCTAGTATTATTATCTAGTTGTTTACCAATTTTTAAAGTGTTAACTTTTTCCCTTCTGTACCAAATAGCTTTTTCCAATATTTCAGAAACGGCTGCTACCCCATTGAACTAACTTAGACCCCTCGTAAGGAAATCAGACTAGTCTCAAATTGTTTCTAGTATTATTATCTAGTTGTTTACCAATTTTTAAAGTGTTAACTTTTTCCCTTCTGTACCAAATAGCTTTTTCCAATATTTCAGAAACGGCTGCTTCCCCATTGAACTACGGTAGACCCCTCGTAAGGAAATCAGACTAGTCTCAAATTGTTTCTAGTATTATTATCTAGTTATTTACCAATTTTTAAAGTGTTAACTTTTTCCCTTCTGTACCAAATAGCCTTTTGCAATATTTTAAAAACGGCTGCTACCCCATTGAACTAACTTAGACCCCTCGTAAGGAAATCAGACTAGTCTCAAATTGTTTCCAGTATTATTATCTAGTTGTTTACCAATTTTTAAAGTGTTAACTTTTTCCCTTCTGTACCAAATAGCTTTTTCCAATATTTCAGAAACGGCTGCTACCCCATTGAACTAACTTAGACCCCTCGTAAGGAAATCAGACCAGTCTCAAATTGTTTCTAGTATTATTATCTAGTTGTTTACCAATTTTTAAAGTGTTAACTTTTTTCCTTCTGTACCAAATAGCTTTTTCCAATATTTCAGAAACGGCTGCTACCCCATTGAACTAACTTAGACCCCTCGTAAGGAAATCAGACTAGTCTCAAATTGTTTCTAGTATTATTATCTAGTTGTTTACCAATTTTTAAAGTGTTAACTTTTTCCCTTCTGTACCAAATAGCTTTTTCCAATATTTCAGAAACGGCTGCTACCCCATTGAACTAACTTAGACCCCTCGTAAGGAAATCAGACTAGTCTCAAATTGTTTCTAGTATTATTATCTAGTTATTTACCAATTTTTAAAGTGTTAACTTTTTCCCTTCTGTACCAAATAGCCTTTTGCAATATTTTAAAAACGGCTGCTACCCCATTGAACTAACTTAGACCCCTCGTAAGGAAATCAGACTAGTCTCAAATTGTTTCCAGTATTATTATCTAGTTGTTTACCAATTTTTAAAGTGTTAACTTTTTCCCTTCTGTACCAAATAGCTTTTTCCAATATTTCAGAAACGGCTGCTACCCCATTGAACTAACTTAGACCCCTCACAAGGAAATCAGACTAGTCTCAAATTGTTTCTAGTATTATTATCTAGTTGTTTACCAATTTTTAAAGTGTTAACTTTTTCCCTTCTGTACCAAATAGCCTTTTGCAATATTTTAAAAACGGCTGCTACCCCATTGAACTAACTTAGACCCCTCGTAAGGAAATCAGACTAGTCTCAAATTGTTTCTAGTATTATTATCTAGTTATTTACCAATTTTTAAAGTGTTAACTTTTTCCCTTCTGTACCAAATAGCCTTTTGCAATATTTTAAAAACGGCTACTACCCCATTGAACTAACTTAGACCCCTCGTAAGGAAATCAGACTAGTCTCAAATTGTTTCTAGTATTATTATCTAGTTGTTTACCAATTTTTAAAGTGTTAACTTTTTCCCTTCTGTACCAAATAGCTTTTTCCAATATTTCAGAAACGGCTGCTACCCCATTGAACTAACTTAGACCCCTCGTAAGGAAATCAGACTAGTCTCAAATTGTTTCTAGTATTATTATCTAGTTGTTTACCAATTTTTAAAGTGTTAACTTTTTCCCTTCTGTACCAAATAGCTTTTTCCAATATTTCAGAAACGGCTGCTACCCCATTTAACTAACTTAGACCCCTCGTAAGGAAATCAGACTAGTCTCAAATTGTTTCTAGTATTATTATCTAGTTGTTTACCAATTTTTAAAGTGTTAACTTTTTCCCTTCTGTACCAAATAGCTTTTTCCAATATTTCAGAAACGGCTGCTACCCCATTGAACTAACTTAGACCCCTCGTAAGGAAATCAGACTAGTCTCAAATTGTTTCTAGTATTATTATCTAGTTGTTTACCAATTTTTAAAGTGTTAACTTTTTCCCTTCTGTACCAAATAGCTTTTTCCAATATTTCAGAAACGGCTGCTACCGCATTGAACTAACTTAGACCCCTCGTAAGGAAATCAGACTAGTCTCAAATTGTTTCTAGTATTATTATCTAGTTGTTTACCAATTTTTAAAGTGTTAACTTTTTCCCTTCTGTACCAAATAGCTTTTTCCAATATTTCAGAAACGGCTGCTACCCCATTTAACTAACTTAGACCCCTCGTAAGGAAATTAGACTAGTCACAAATTGTTTCTAGTATTATTATCTAGTTGTTTACCAATTTTTAAAGTGTTAACTTTTTCCCTTCTGTACCAAATAGCTTTTTCCAATATTTCAGAAACGGCTGCTACCCCATTGAACTAACTTAGACCCCTCGTAAGGAAATCAGACTAGTCTCAAATTGTTTCTAGTATTATTATCTAGTTGTTTACCAATTTTTAAAGTGTTAACTTTTTCCCTTCTGTACCAAATAGCTTTTTCCAATATTTCAGAAACGGCTGCTACCCCATTGAACTAACTTAGACCCCTCGTAAGGAAATCAGACTAGTCTCAAATTGTTTCTAGTATTATTATCTAGTTGTTTACCAATTTTTAAAGTGTTAACTTTTTTCCTTCTGTACCAAATAGCTTTTTCCAATATTTCAGAAACGGCTGCTACCCCATTGAACTAACTTAGACCCCTCGTAAGGAAATCAGACTAGTCTCAAATTGTTTCTAGTATTATTATCTAGTTGTTTACCAATTTTTAAAGTGTTAACTTTTTCCCTGCTGTACCAAATAGCTTTTTCCAATATTTCAGAAACGGCTGCTACCCCATTGAACTAACTTAGACCCCTCGTAAGGAAATCAGACTAGTCTCAAATTGTTTCTAGTATTATTATCTAGTTGTTTACCAATTTTTAAAGTGTTAACTTTTTCCCTTCTGTACCAAATAGCTTTTTCCAATATTTCAGAAACGGCTGCTACCCCATTGAACTAACTTAGACCCCTCGTAAGGAAATCAGACTAGTCTCAAATTGTTTCTAGTATTATTATCTAGTTATTTACCAATTTTTAAAGTGTTAACTTTTTCCCTTCTGTACCAAATAGCTTTTTCCAATATTTCAAAAACGGCTGCTCGTAAGGAAATAAGACTCTTATAAAATTGTTAATAATATTTATTATTTACTTTTATATTGATTTGTAAAGTTTTAACCTTTTTAAAGACGCTACTGACTTTTCGGGCATCTTCGAGAAATTGGCTGCTAACTTTTGGCTGCCAAGTTCACACAGGTGTAAAGAAATACAAATTACAAAAATAAAGACAATTATAGAATACACAATCGTCAGAAACATTTTCCTAACACTGTATAATAGCGACTAGGACACCAAATTGGACAAAACAATTCTGCACTGTTGAAATTTCTTCACCTTAACCGGTTCGTAATTAATTCAAAAAATCATTAAAAAAAATTTTTGGAATAACAAAAACACCGATACAACAATAACATGAATGTGTGAGTGATTTTAATGCGCTTGTTTATATAAAAGACGAAATACGAGGGGCATCTTTATGTATCTTCGAATATTAATGTACCTAAAATAAAGATATGCTTTCCAAATGGGTAATAAAATGTTATCGGAAAAGTAAAGTTAGTTTAGTATACACGGTGGCCCATCGAAAATGTACCGCAGAGTGGAAAAGAATTTTTCGATGAAATCCAAAAAACACGTTTATTTGTTAAGGGCACACCTTTTGACGCAAAAAACATAGTAAAACCTTCAACCCCTTCAGTAGGTGTGTCATTTTCCAAGTTTTTTTCAAAGGTCTTGTCATTACCTATACAACGCTGCTGGGTTTTTAAAAAATGAGCCACTTGTTTAGAAAATTATGGAGCCTTGAAAGTTAAACAATAATATGTTTACAAAGACTTATTTCTACCAATAAAATTTAAGATTAGAACATTTAAGTTAATTGTTTGTCCCTAGTTATAGGTTATTAAATACAATGCAAATGTGTTAAAAACTAATACTTTTAGAGACGAAGTTTTAGATGTTTACATAATAGCAAGTTGATTCCTCTGTAAAAAATCCTCAGTAGAAAATCCTCCTGTACATAAATTATAAATTTTTGAAATAACCCTTATCTTTGCAGTTACCAAATATTTTATCTTAAACATCAATACCAAAATATTGAATTTTTTTTTGTAAATTCTTACATTTTTACAATAAGTAGACAAAGTCGCAGAATTAAAAATAGATGGTAGTTTAAATTAAATTTTACGCTGAAACCAATGGTGAAAAAATGTATAGGATGAGTCATTTAAAAACAGTGACATTAAGGCTGTCCCACTGGAACTAAATGCCCTATATATTTCAAAGTATTTTATAAATATACAATAAAAAATCGCTGTAACTTTTATTTTGAATATTTTTTCACATTTTTTTAAGAATTGGACTTCCTTGTACTAATGAGTACAAGAAATTTCGATACAATTAAAAATGAGTTACAAATCCAGAAAAAGATTAAGATATTTTGTAATAATTAGTTTACAAAAAATTTAATTTAAAAGACTTACCATTTGAGACCGCTCATTGCTCCTTTACTCCCTTTCCATTGGTTGGTCCAGTATTTCTTTCCATAATATCCATTATTTCCAATAGCTTTTCCCGATTTCTGCATCCGGAAAATCTTCTTTTCCCGACGACATTAATGATCATCGTATCATATTCAATTCTATAGCAACCCTTTGATACAGACGTATCGCAGGCCAGTATATCTGCAGCCTTGTCCATTTGATCCTAGAAGATACATCCTAAGACACTATAATGTAAATCGAAGATCTACATCGAACATCAAAGGAAATATATACATTCTAAGACCAAACGTCTTTATTGTTAGAGGTGAAATGAACATGAGCTCAAACCATTGATATCGTACTACTGATTAACTCGAAATATTTGCGGCGATTTAAATTTATTTTACGGATATTCGCTGAAAAGAAAGAAAAACAATTATTAGAAAATTTGGAAAATTTCAAAACGGAATGATATTATTAAATAATTATTCAAGAGGCGAGAATATTTTGGGAACATTTTATTGTTGCTTTGGAAATTTTCATAATTTGTAGAAATTTTAATTTTGCTTATATTTATATTCAAGGAAGGTTAAAAATCTTTTTCATCAATCAATTAGTATATATTTACTTTAATTGTATTAAAATAATAATACCCGTTCTTTCCCCTATACAACTAGGGGTTGAAATTCACTCGTAAGGTGATGAATTAGGTAGATAGAGTATTATTATTAATTATTATTATCTATTTTTGTACACTACTCTGCAATCGGGTCTTGATCTGTTAAGTAATGTAAAAATAAATAAAATTACAGAAAAGAACAATATATTTTGTTATTTTATGTGGTGAAATATACAGAACGATTTAGCAGTTATTAAATGAGGAAGACAAAAAATAGATAAAGATCTTTCTTTAATAATAACATACATTTTCACAAAAATCGAAGACCAAAAATGCATTTATCATGTCACTGATAGTGGGTAAGTCAAATGACACCATCAATTATCTTTAAGTCGCCCCGGAGCATTACGGCAAATAATAATAATAATAGTCGTTCCTTTCCCCAGACAAGCTTAACTTTTGGGGTTAAAATTCACTCGTAAGAGGGTGCAAATTTGCTCTATAACATCGCCATAAATTTTGGATTTTCTGATAACTGTTTAACAAGCTGTTTTTCAATGGATATTAGAGAGTCTGTCTTCACTTGTTGAATTTCGTATAAAACTTTTAATGCGCTTTAAAGCTGAAAACTTCGCTCAACTGACGCACTTGTGGCTGGGAAGGTTAGTACTAATTCACACAACTTGACGACTTCACACAACTTGACGACTTTACAAAGGGACTTGTTTAAACCAGTTGTTATAAGAAAAATAAACACATTGATGAACGTCTTTTTATCACTAATTTCAGTTGTTTCATAAACAACACTTAACTGGGACTTTAATGCTGGAATATCGAAAAAATTTCCATAATTTAATTTTAGTGAATTAAAAGCTTCCGATTGAAATTTTGATGAATCGTAGCTACTAATATACTATTCAACAAATTTTAATTCGTTAAAGTTTTGAAATCGAGAGTTAATTTTTTTTTTTTTTTCGAAAAAAAGTTTACGAATACCCCTTCACACGCTGAAACAGATGGGGTTTCTGTTATTTTTAAAAAAATTTAAATTGTTGGTAATCGTCCCCATGTTTTAATAAACTTTGACAGCACCCGAAGATGGAAAAGTTTTCCGAAACATATGTAGTACTGTGCTTAACAATAAAAAATAAAAACGACCGAATAAACCAAGAAAATTTTTATTTAAACAAAAAATTATATTATGTATCGCAGCAATGGATTTACATTTTCAATGCAGCGAATATTCTGTTTCATTAATGTATAAATCAGACAATCAAAAGGATGTTAACAACAGTTTCTTTTTCATGTGTATTGCACACAGTATAATCTATAATCAATAACATATCCAATACAATTTAATAAAAATTTAATTAAAAAAAGATTGGACTTACACAATTGAAAAAGAGTATGGGTAACTTAAATAGGTCAATTAGAAAACAAGTATGTACTTGGTTCACAAGAGGTAGGAAAATAATTTTATAAATATATAAAAGTATAAGGAGACGCTATACTAACATCCAAATCATGTAAATGTGTAAAACACTTGAACAAATCTTTCCTATTATAACTAAAATAAAGTTGGTTTAAATTGTTTTATATATGAACAAAATCAATATCAATTTTTCATATGTACTATCTAGTTATACTTTATATTTGTAGAGTTGTTCAATCGCAATTGTTGTTCAAAACAAAGCAATGCATAGCTATGATGTTGCATTGTTATTATTTGTTGTATCCAGTTAAGGGACATTTTAAAAATATTAAATTATTAATTGCATACTTTACTCTCCAGTCTCTAAACGAATTATAGCATCAGAAGTATTGATAAGAACTAAAAGATCTCTTTTCAGGAAATATAGATGAATTCTTTGCAATATATGTAAGTATCTTAGACCTCAAACATCATACTTCTTGAAACCTTTCCTAGAAGATTGCACAGTTTTCTGTAAATTAATAGTGTATTAGCAATATTATATTTTTAAAATGTTACATTGATCATCATAATATTTATAAATTGTTTAAATATCGTTATTCTTAGCTTTTGAATAATGCATCATTGTGTAAATAAATATATAAATAAAAATTTTAACAGAATTCTTTTATTACTGTACCATTTTCCTGTTAATGATACGCCCATGGCAATAATATCAGTAATGTAAACAACGACGCCATTTTCAACCTTATCTGACGTTTAATGTTGGTGTGTAAACAAACAATATTTATGAATGGGTTGTGGTAGATGTGGTTCGAACTGATCTCATTTTTTATTCATTTTATTATTAAAATCATCAATTTGTTTAAAGCAAAAGCCAATGTCATTTGACTATGTCTGTAAAATGTCGAATAAAATGTCAGTAAAAGGGAAAATCTTTTCAAAAATTTTAAATCAAAGTTTTGTTTGAGCCAATGCAAATACCCTTTAGCAGCAGTAACAGTTTCAGCATCCCATGTTTCTTTATTATCCCAAACGTCTTGAAAAAAGTGTATCAAAGAATCACGGTATTGAAACACTGTTTGCACTAAACGTCCATTGTAGTTCCTTCGCGTCAGAGCAACTTTTGGAAACCTTTTTTGAACGTGAATGTCCAAAGCGTGAGTTCTTTTCGATGACTTTGAAAAGAAGGAAGCCAAACCACTAAGCATCGAAAAGAAAACTTTGTTTTCCTCAAACGTCGATTCGCATGCGAATTGCAATATGCGTAAGGCGGCGTAAAAATCGCTTCCTCTCGACCGTATTTCACGTACCCAAACATACTGACTATTTTTGCGGCAAAGCGGGGTCAATAGTACGAAGCGAAATCAATTGGAAGATGAGCCGGCTTTTTTAAGACGCGCTTTCGCCGACGGACTTGAAGTATATTATGGTGTGTGCGTTTACACAGTACACCAATGAATTGTTAGTACATTTACGAAGTTTACGTAATGTTTCAAAGAAAATATAGTACCTAATTTAATTTTAATTTCTATGCATTGTAAACTGACAAATATTTATTTTTAAATCTCAGTGTAGGGAAGCGGTGCTTCCCCCGCTTCCATGGACTGCACACCCCTGCAATGCATAATGGAAGTCGGTTTTACAATAGGTACAATTTGAAGGCCACCCGTAATTATTTTTTATGATCAACAGTATCAAAGGCCTTTGCAAGATTTAGAAACAC